TTTCATGGCAGGGGAGACCTCTTTAGACCCACAGAAGTACAATTTAAAAACTACTTTCCATATATAATTACAGACAAGGTAGAGTAAAGAATTAGAAAGCTCAGAATGATTGATGGACCTTGACCTTTTAGCCCTCTGAGTTCTCACAACTCAACTATGGAAACACACACAAGTGTTTATTTTAAAAACCTCTGAGGAACAGTTCCCACAGCATTATCACATTAGCACATTATTTACTTTACAGGACCTAGCATCAACATAAGACAGAAAGGATGAGACAACCGTGTACCCTTCCATGTGAGAACAAAATATCTTTGGGGTTATGACTAATTCAAGGATGCTAAGAGAAGATGAATTGAATATACAGAGCTGCGCATTGGGAAAAGCAGCTGTTACAAGTTGTGAGTTTTGGCTCGACTCAGTCAGAAAAGGCATTTTGAAAGCTCTTGTGAGAAGGGAGCTGTAACAAAGGGAAGCGTTCAAGGATTAATAAACAAATCCCTGGATGGTGGACTGTTGGGGAGAAGAGAGAGGCTGGGCGGCTGATTTAAAATAACCTTGGAATGATCTTCCTGAACCTCAGTTTCCTTATTTATAAAATGAAGGTGATAATACTTCAGAGGTTTACTCTGGAAGCAAAGTGACCTAACAGCTGTGAAAGCACTTCGGAAAGGAGACTGGGGTCCATAACGTAAAAAGGAGGGCTACTGTTTTCTTGGGGCAAATGATTCGAAAAGTTGGAAGGAGAAGATTAAGATGGGAGTCAATTTTTCATCACCATTTGTCTCATGGGCCAAGTAGGCACCTGACGCCCAACACAGGTTCACAGTGATGAATATGACCCCAGATCACCTTCTCTCTTCCACTGTGCCAAGTGGGACCCTTCCTCTTCCAAATATTCAGAATTCGTTTACGTAATGGACTCCAATTCTACTCCATTGACATCTAACCTGTGTTCCTTCCTAGTTTCTGTGGCTTAATGGAGTCACCAACGCTTTTACGTTGTTTCTCATATATGGGCATATCAGATTAGGTTTAACCCTCACTAAAGGTAGGAAGCATGATAAGTATTATTATTGTTATTGTTTTGTTGTTGTTGTTGTTGTTTGTTGTTGTTGTTGTTGTTATTATAGAGTACCTTGAAAACATAAAGCCCAAACCAGGGTTTGGTTTCTCAAAAGCAGCACTATTGACATTTGGCCCACATAGTTTTTTTGCTGGGGGAGGCTGTCCCGTTCATTGCAGGATGTTTCGCATGGTGGGTCTCTCACCAGCTAAATGCCAGGGGCAACTCTTTCTGGCCCCAGAGTTATGACAACCAAAATGTCTACAGATATTGCCAAATGTTCCCAGGTGGGGGCTACAAAATCATCTCTGGTTGAGAACCACCATACTAGCCAGGGCTAAATTAATACTATAGTCACTGTAACTACTTTTATTCTTTTCAGATTACCTGGGAAAATGCTCAGAAGTGCACAGGTACTCAGTGAATATTTACTGAATAAATGAAAAAAATGAGGAAAGGACTTCATTAGTTATATTTATAACTGACCCTATAGCATAAACCCTTATATGATTACAACGATATTATATAATGCATAATTTGCAAGTTGGCATACAATATATTTTTGGTACATGAACACATTTTAGTGCGTATTCTAGAAATTATATTCTTGTGCATACACAAAGATCATAGTTAACAGTTACTTTCTCCCTAGAACATGAACTATGAATATGCCTATGATGGCTAGCATCCTGTTTATCCATCAAGCATGAGACAGGAAAAGTATTTTAAATTCTAGGAATTTAAACACCACTTATCAGACCCATGTTCAGAGAATTAATTCTACATGGAAAGAATAGTACAATCAAGAATTCTAGGGGGGAGGGTATAGCTCAAGAGGTAGAGCACATGTTTAGCATGCATGAAGTCCTGGGTTCAACCCCCAGTACCTCCATTTAAAAAAATAATAATTAAATAAAATAAACCTAATTACCTCCCCCCAAAGAAAACTAAAAAAAAGGGAAAAAAAGAATTCTAAAAAGACTGGTAAGCTTTTCAGTATAAACGTTTAACCAATCCTCCAAAATCTGTCCCAAACTCACCAGTCTTTTCCAAGATCAGAAGGAAGATTTGTACTGTCTTCTGATATTTGGGGAACCTATGTCAGTGGCATTTCACCTTGAGCTCTTAAAGAATACTGATGTTATTCTGATTTTCAAGAACTGATACTTTTGGACCATCCTGTTAAAGAACACTAGTGATGTTTTTGACTTTCAGATTTTCTCAGTGGATTCTCCAATCCTGTATCAACAGGCTGCATTTCCCAAATGACCACTAGCAAAGTGTTCTTATCAAAACAGGGGCAAATGCAGCTGAAAAAGAAAAGAATTGAGGGGTTTCTCTTTCAGACACATTCACTCATCCTTCTGGTGGCTTCTTAGTATATACAATCTTTTGGAGGGAATCCGAATTTCGCACCAACTCTATTAAACAGTGTGCTTAAAAGAAATAAAACAAACTTCGAATTTTGGCTACGATGTAGTAACTTACAACATGTCAATGTCCCCCATCAAGTAAAACTACAAAAGCCAGATAAAACACAAGAAACATCTGTTTAAAGGCCCTTGATAGCGGGAGACTATTTGGATGCAAGTGGCTCAGATCCCAGAGAAGAAGTAACTACAGAGCAAAGAGTCTGCATTCTGTGGACGCTTTTTCCCTTTGGGACTCGCCAATTCTTGGCATGGTGCTAGAAAATGAGAATCTGGACTGCAAAGAGGCAGAGGAGCCAGTAGAGCTTTTGGCAATCCCACAGTGGTGGAGAGACAAAAATTAGACTTTGGGTGCTGTCAAAGAAGACAGGAATTAAGGGGCCAAGGATGCAGTGGGAAAGGAGACACAGAAATGGGGCCATCACATGGAAGGATTTCCCCTCATGGCATTTGCTGTAAAGTACAAGAAGCTAAACAGCTAGGAAGAAGACCAATGTGAAGCAAAGTGGAAACCCAGCAATCTTGTTCTGAGAAGAAAAATATTATAATTTGGGACTGCCCAAGGAGGAGTGGAGTGCAGGAAACACTTCAGTTTCTCAGTAAGGCCCACTGGAGAAGTGCATGCTCAGAATGGAAAAAAACAGAGGTAAGTAGAGCCTTACGGACACTGCCTTATAAACACTCAGCAAAACCAGGTCAGTCTCTGCCGGGACCAGGTGGTCTGTTCCCACTCTATGTGCCTGCCCTTCAGGAGAGGACCTGCTGCCCCCACTATCATCAACAGCCTGAATCTCCTTCAGGTTTCGCCTCTTCTGCAGAGCTGCCTCGCCCCAGGGCACACCCTCCCCAGGAAGGCCCACATCCAACGGCTGATGGAGGTGGGGATATAAAGACCCAGCCAAGTCTTGGCCCAACATGGAGCAACTCCCTCAGGTCACCTGTGACCCAGAGCTCCCCCTCCCCATGGATTTAGCAGAGGCTTTAACAGGCCTGGATCACACTTCCACTTCTCCTTCTGCTCAGTCCTGTTTTCTCTCCCCTCATTTACACAAGCGCTGATACCTGATAAACACCCTGTACAACAAACTCCACCTCAGTGACTGCTTCTGGAAAACCCAGCTGCTGACAGTTACTGTAGTGGTCCAAGAAAGCAGGTGATGTGACGAGGTTATTGATCTGAACCACACACTGCTGGGATGGCAGTGAGGCTGCCAACACTGATGGTCAGAAGGAGATAGACCTTCCCTGGCATGAGGGGGTGGTCCAGGGTTGAAACCCTTGTCAGAGGTGAGTTGGAATAGTCTACCTGTGGAAAGGAATGTACTAAATAGGGTAATTTACCAAGGGTTTGACAAGGACAATGGATTGGACGGCTTACTGCTAACCATCAATAATGTTCTAGAAAAAGATAACTCAAAGCCCCAGGCAACTGTAATTCATATGTGAACACCAAAGGGCCTTCTCAGGAATTTAGAAAGAGGTTCTTACGTACTGTACTAAAGCAGGAGAGTCCAGAAAGCTGAGGATAGAAAAGATTGATAATGCAGACCCATTAAAATCAGCATCTTCTATTCCATAACAGACACTAATAAAAGAAAGGAAAGGCAAACCACACAGTGGGAGAGCTTCACAATACACATACCCAAGAGATGACTTAAATCCAGAAAGCATAAAGAGAGACAAATCAGGAACAAAAAGACAGACTATCCAATTAAAAAAGGGGCAAAATACGTGACAGACCCTTCACAAAAAAAGATATTTAAATAACCAAGACATCTTGAAAATTCAATCAAATTCATTAGGAAAATGCAACTTAAAACTGCAAAGAGATAGCACAATACTATCATCAGAATTGCTAAAATTGAAAAAAAACTGACAATACCAAGTGTTGGAGAAGATTTGGAGCAACTGCAACTTTCACACATAGCTAGGAGAAGTATAAATTGGCACAACTACTTTAAAAAAAAACTGTTTTGCTGAACAAATACATATCCTTGTTCCACCAAAGACATATACAAGAATAGCCATAGCATCACCATTCATAGTAGCTAGAGACAACTCCCACATCCATCAACAATAGTACAGGAAAATACATTGTGATGCAGAATATATCAAAGTACTATTAAAAAGAGAATGAATGAATCACTGGAAGATGAAAATATAGTGAATCTCTCAAACATAATGTTGAGCAAACGAAGCTGGACACAAAAGGACTGTAGACTGCATGATTCTATTGATATCAAGTTCAGAAATTGATAAAAACTACCCAAGGAGATAGAAGTCGGCATTCAGGTCTTTTTTGAGAGGGTGAGGTGACAGGAGGGGGCTTGAGAGGGTTTCTGGGATGCTGTCAATATTTCATCTCTTTATCTGGGTGCTGGTCACGTGGGTCTGGTCACTCTGTTACAAATTATTGAAATGCACACCTTATTTGTATTCTTCCTCGTATAAATGGTATACCTCAATAAAGTCTTTTAAAAATGCAACAAAACACAGGCACTTACATTGCTTTTCTCTTTCCTGCTGTGGTGAGAAGCAAATCCTGCTGGCATTTTTGTTTTCACTTTGGTTTCTAAACTGGGAGCATTTGAGGAAATCAGGCCAGGTGGCATTCATCATGGCCAGGACTGATTCACAGCCCTTCTTGGCAGCCTCACAGAAGGACCTACAGGGCAGGAGCCCAACACTAGAAGAAAAGAGAAAAGTGAAAATTAATGTTTTTACAGGCTATTTCACAAAGTAATAATTAAACTAATAAGAAAACTTGGCAATATTATCTAAGTTTATATTTACTATAGTCAACAACTTAAATTTCTACATTCTACCCTAGGATTTCAGCCACCCTACTGTCATGATTCTAGAGGGAATAAGCTAGTTGCATAATATCATCTAGCTATCTCTTGTAGAAGCATTTATCCCAAATGATTTTTTTTTTAGATTTCTTGTGCTAAAGTAAACCTGTCAACTAAAAACGAGCTCTACTTAATATCAAAAGAAGTAAATTAACATAGAAATGAAGCCCCTCAAATTGGAAAATCAGAAGTGGGTCACAAAATAGGTTAATTTCTTTACCATCCCTATGAGACATTCAAAGGATCTCTGAGAGGCAGACAGAGAGAAAGCCGTTCCTTAACCTCCATGGCCTCCTTGGAAAAGAAAATATTATACAAACAAACGGCAACTCTGAAACATTCTATCATTATTTATCTTTTCATTTCTATGTTATCTTCTGCAAAATAGAAAAATACAAACAACTGTCCATTAGTGGTAAAGTAATGATGCCCCGGAGTTTGTCTTTATTCATCTGACACGCAATCAAACGCTCCTGGATCCTCAGCTCTGTGTCTACAATGTCAAGGCCATGGACTTGTTCTCTTACAGACCCAGGTGGCTTTTTCTACTTCGCGGTTAACAGACTGCATCTCTCACCCTGGCTCGTCATAAGGCAAAGGCATTTCAAATGATTTTAAGAAAAGTGGGAAAGAAAATATGCATGTCAGTCAAAGCAGAACACACGCTTCACAAATGTAGGGTCAATAAGCTATTGCAGAATCATACAGCCTCAGATCTGTAAGAAACTTTAAACAACACCTCATTCAGATCCTTCATTTGAGACAAGTCCAGGGAGATTCCGAGACACACAGTTTCCTAATGGAAGAAGTGCGAAGAGAATCCAAAAGTTTTAACTTTCAGTCTAGGCTCTATCTACTCTCCTATACTGTCTATTCTCATAAAAGGACCTAATAATTAGGCTTTAAGAACTCCTTGATCAAACAAACACATTTACAATTCCCCATTCATATTTCTACAGGTCACAGAAACATTAACAAGATGCGCCAGCCACTGAGTTAAAATAGAACTGATAGCCTGTGAAGGAGTCCTAAGTGAGATCTTATACGTAACAATGTGAGGGAGGGGTACTCAACAATGACATCCAGATGCAAATGCTTTTGACCTTATTCTCAGAAACTTAAGACTGAGTACCTTTAGAATCCTAATAGTCACGTAACTACCTACCCACATTAATATGTGACTAAATTTGTTAGAGAAGATGTGGAAAGAGGTTTTGCATTTGAAAGAATTAGTGTTAGGACATAAAATGTGACTTGGTCCAGGCAGGCATCTCAGTGTAAAGGAGACACCCGACTGCCATTCAGGAAATAGATCAGATATTTCAAGGACTGAAAGTATCACTCAAACTTTTTAAAAGATTTCCTTTCCTAGATGTTATTCCAGAGAAGCTAGAGACTGTGTTTTCTCAAATAAAACTGGGAACATGGTTGAGAAATGTGGAGAACACAGAATTCCTATGTAATTGCTTTCATGATGCTAGGCTCTATTCGAAGTGCATTAACTCATTTATTTCTCACTACAGTACATAGTACTATACTGTGGGTACCATTACTGAGACAGGAGGGAAGGGAGCAGGGCACAACCATTAAAAGAATGAGACAGCCATTGAGGATATGACATAAAGTGGTTAGAACCACTAGGCCCAAGATGGCAGCAGATTTGCCTTTCAGCAGACCTTGAGCATCATTACAGGCTCACCGTAATACACTAGCGTGCTAAATGACACGCCCACAGGCACCATGACAGTTCCCAGGCTGACCATGAAAGGCCAAAAAGTGGGCAAGGGCCCAATTCCTGGAAATCCCCAGCCCTTCCCCAAAATAGTTGGAATAATCCTCCCACTTGTTAATGTATGAAATTACCCAGCCCACAAAAACTAACCACCGTGCACCCGGGGTCACTCCTCTGAGATGGACCTCATTCTATGGAACGTGTATCTCTCCAAATATACTTGCTTTCACTTTACTATGGCTCGCTCTGAAATTTTTTCCTGCGTGAGACAAGAACCTACTCTCTACTCTCCAGGAACATTACTGTCATCCCTAATACACTAATCAGGAAACTGAAGCACAGGAAATATAAGAGACTCATCTAAAAATCACTGAGGTAGTGAATGTCACAGCCAGCATTCGAACCCAGGCAGACTGATTCAAGGACCATTAACTATTAACTCTCTTACACATGAGCACTTACTTGAGGAATGTATGTTCCAAAAGCGTAACTCAAGGTTAGTTCAGAACTTGATATGCACTTTCCCAGTGGACTAACCGCATACACAGGGGTTGGGTTCTCCCTTCACCCTATAAACTCCTAGTTAACCTTCAGTGAAATTTGCCAAAGGGGCTAAGGAACACCAGGAAGGGGTACAGGCATTTCTCTTTCTCTTCCAGGTGTGAGACAGCCCACAATAAAGCTACAAAACAAGCTAGGCTGGGCTTCAGCATTCTTCCTTTGCCTGACCTGGGTCCAGGGCCCTGATACCATCCTGACCGTCCACCCTCCAGGACTGCACCTGGACTGCCACCTCCACCAGAGCATTACTTGCTCCTAAACATTTCCTCTCCTTCTGACCATCAAAACTACCTTCCCCAAGTGAGCTGATTGTAATTAGACTTTCAAAGAAGAAAAGGGATGAAAACACAGAGTAATATATAATAATAGATGGACACTTAACCCTCCCCGAGGTTTTTTGCATCATTAGATGACTACTTGCTGGAGCAAAGGAATCTCTAATTGATGAAATTCCAAATTTCATTTACAGAGGAAAATATTCACCTGACATTGTTGGGTGGGGAAGATCGCTGTGTCCCAAGGGGTTCCCCGAAATTTCCTCACTCCTGAACCCACATATATTTTAATCACTCCACATCTCTCTCAGAATCTTCGACAGTAAGAGCAACGAAGGGGGCCAGCAGACTGTTTGCACGTTCCAAAGCTGAGTCTAACTCAGAAGCTGACTTCTTGTCACTGACTCTTACCAGAGTCATTTTCTGCAGGAAAGCATTAAGTCTACCATCCTGAATCTTTCACATGGGCCCTCCTCCCCATCTAATCTTGGGCCAATGGTTTGCTCACACCAAGACTCAACTTCCTCATTTGAAAAGTGAGAGGTTTGGAAGAGCTGATTTTTTCATGATCCTTTTACCACTAACATTCTGTAAATCAAAATTCATTCTTTAACACAATGCATCTCAGAGGAGCAATGATAATCCCACCAGCTTTGCTACATTTCAAAAGGCAACAGATTTTTTTTTTCCTCAAGATTTGCGCTGGGAATATATAGAGACATTAAAATACCATTAGGCCTTCCATTCTAAAAATAGGGCCTAAGAAAAATGTCTAGAGTGTTTCCAAATAGCTCTCTTAAGAGGTGTAACCAACCGAGACCCATAGGCTTTAAATTGCTGGATGAGGACATGTGAAATGGTGACAGAGTATTAATAACTAGCAGCCCTTTCAGACACTGAGCAGAATGAGGAGCCATTTGTCCTTGCTTTGCGTGAAATTCAACTGCCTACGAGGGGTTGAAGTGTTTTGCTTTTCATCACATGGAAAAGTGCGATGAGACAGACCACACTATTTTGGAAAATAAGGGCTGATATCCAAGCAACAAGCAGACTGACCTCTGAAAATAGTGCTCCGCACAGGGGAGGAGTCGAATTTGGCTATCAGAATACTATTTTAGAAAAGGTGACTATTTTAAATTGATGTGTGGTGTGCACTTGGTGTTGTGCAAAAGTCCCTAAAACATTTCAACCCAGGCTTAAGCAGAAAACTCTTACCTCACCTCTATAATTATTTGTTGAAACAAATACATACAAACAAATGTAAATAATTCTACTATATAGTGATAATGAGGATTTTAGGAGATTTTCTCTAGGAAAGCTATTCTAAAATTATCTACAAGAAAAGTATAGATTTGCCTACAAAATTTAAAGCAAATTTATCTACTAATTTTTAAATTTACCAAAAAAAATGGATTTTTTATTGTACCCTTTGACCAATATCTCCCTGCTACCCCCCTAAATTTATAGATTTCATCTGCAAAAAAAGTTCTGATAAAGACATAAAGTTAAAATGACTGAACAAGCTATAGCCACACAGTAGCTTTTATAATAGCTAATGGATTTTTAGGTTTTATAACTCACTTTTTTCTAACTTTTTATTTTTATTTTTGTGGTACAGGTGATGTATAATATTATACAAGTTACAGGTGTACGATACAGTGATTCATAATTTTTAAAGGTTATACTCCACTTATACTCCCCATGTTGTACAATATATCCTTGCAGCTAATTTTACCTAATATCTAACTTCTTACTTTAAACTACATTTAGAGACTTACAGAAAAGTTATAAAAATAGTACAGAAAGTTTCCATATAGCCTTTATCTGGGCTCCCCTAAAGCAAATATCTCATGTAACTACGGTATAATTATCAGAACCAGGAAACTGACACTAGTATAATACCTGTAACTAAAGGAAGGACCGTATCCAAATATCACCAAGATCTCCATTCAGGATCTCACATTGCATTTAGTTGTCACTTTCTATTTCTGGCAAATAACTAAACTTTCAGCAGATCTGAAAAGGTCAGGATTTAAAACTATTTTCCACGGGGAAAGAAAAAGGGTCTTTTTGATAAGCAGACTTTAACAAGGCCCTGAATGATCCCCAATCCTGCTATTCATGTCATGTGTAGTCCCCTCCTCTTGAGTGTGAGCTGGCCTAGTGACTTGCTTACAACCAACAGAAGGTAATGGGATGTGACTTCTATCATTAGGGTACATAAGTGTGACTTCTCTCTTGCTAGCAGACTACTCTCCCTTTGCTG